TCAGCAGTCAAGAGTTCCTGTGTCCACGGCCAACTTCTGTTGACTCCAGGCCAACCTTAGCATGCCTGACACTTGACTCACTTGTTCCTGGACAATGTCATTGGTTGGCATGGATTTGAAGCCCTGTATACTGGTGGAATTTCCCAAGGATTTCAGAATCTCCCTTTAAAATCCCTTTCCCCAAGCATTTCCATTACAGATGTCTCTAGAGAAAATGATTAATAGGGGATTGTTACCCTGAGGATACATCAACTATGGCAAGCATCTCCCCCATGGACTTTGTTCTCATGAGCTACAAAGGAGCAAACCAAGTGAGAGTTTACAAATTTGATGAAATAATATTCAACATGCAGGACCAGCAGATGGCATAATGGTTATGTCATTGGACTCTCAACATAGTCTACCATGGTTCGAATCTCAGATGCAGTAGCTTAAAACTCTTACTGGCACTGTGTGTGTGTGTGTGTGTGTGTGTGTGTGTGTGCATGCACGCACACAAAATCCCAAGAAAAGAGTGAAGGACAAGGGAATTGTGGTATGGCCATCCCCCCAGAGGGTGATTTCTCACGTTCTGTCTCTCTGTCTCTCCAGCAAGTGTACATACCCTATAGCAAAAAGTCTCTCTTCTCAAAATATATATGTGTGTGTGTGTGTGTGTGTGTGTATGTATTCAACATGCATATTTTAATGTAGTAGACACAAGAGTGGGTTGGATGCGAATCAAGAAAAACAGAAAAAAATCTATATGATTAGTTCAAAATATCACTTTAATACCAAAGAAATAAACATTTCTTTGAGAATAAGCTAATGAGACTTTTTCATAAAATCATTAGTGACACAAGTCTGATTCATCATTTGGACCATAAAACAAAATGTAATTACATTTGTCTCTGTTCCCAGTTGCTAGCATCACAGTTATTAACCTAAACATAAGGATGAACATTTTTACATAAATCAAGCAACAACCCAATCGGATAGATCAGAACTCCATCACAGTCATAGGTAATTGTACCATGAAGCTAATAAAGAGCCTTCATCAGTTCAAGCTTTTTTCAAGGCCTTGGGAGGGGCCCTAACAATGTGCTCACATGTTCATATATTCTTGCACAATTGCTGAAGTCCTACATTTTAATCAAATTGGTTAGGACTTTTTTTTTTTCCACTCTCACTCCCACTTCCCTTCTTTATACTTCTCCTTATCATGGGTGATGGAGTAGCTGTAAGTGTTTTTGAGATCTATTAATAGTTAAGAGGAAGTTGAATCGAGGATCCGCAGCTTTAGTTTAGGTTAAGTGATATGTATGTCATTGGTTCACAGTCATGTTACGAGTCGTTCTGTTTTTACTAGTCATCCTGGTGTGTAAAAACTTCTAGGAATATCCCTTTGCCTACTATGCACAATCAGCCAGCTTCCTGATACAGAACGTGTCTTTGGGTATACAAGACCAAAACGATGCAGGTATGGGAGAAACTATGTCAAAATACATGGAGCCAGCAGCTAGCCTGGGGAAAATTATTCTTATCATCTGAGTGAATAATGACAGAGGACTCAGTTCACATCAACCTTAGACCAAAACGAACCCTTTCATTTCAGGAGCAGACCCAATAATATAGAGTATTTTATTACCGATAGCTTATACTTTTTTCCTAGTGGATTAGAACAATATGTTTGATCAGAATCTGATCGTGTTACATAGAATCATAATTTCTGTGTTGACAAAAATAATTTCTGAATGACAAACCATAAGTGAAGTTGCTTGGCTAGTGAATCTAGCTACGAAGAAGAGCTCTCTCTTTTCATTGGCAAAACAGACTTTAATTATTTAAATTTACATTGTTGACTATAAGAATATTTTGTTCAAACTACAGGTTAGCACACACAAAGGAATGATGTTGTTAGGGGAACAGAGAAACTTGGGAAAACTCTGCTATCTGAATTAAAAACAAAATACTCTCCATTAACAGCGGTGGATTCCTGAGTTTTACCCATAACAGGCATGTTCACACAGAAAGCAAATGGAAGGAGAAGAGATGGAAGAGAAGGGATTGTGGCATGACCATTGCCCATGGGGAGGTGGTACTTTTTCACTTTTCTCTTTCTCTCCATCTCTTTCTCCCTTTCTGCTTCTCTCCAGTGTGTGTATTTGCCCTCCAGCCAAACTACAAAAATTAATTAATTAATTAAAACAAATCTTGAAAAAACATTCTAAAGGAAAGAATACATCACATTTCTAGTCTTTGTTTAGAAAGTTATTTAAAATTGTTGTCATAATGAAGAAGAAATTGAGGATCTGTAACTCAGGCCCAGCTGTAGTAGCACAAGTGGTACCATGCCAGACTACAGTGCTAGCTGGAAGCCACATGGTGACCATGGTTTGAACCCCCTAGTCTGGTTAGCATGTTTGCTGGCCTTGTATGCAGGTGTCCATGATCCACTGAGCTGGAGGACTGGAAGAAAGGGATTTCGGTGTGGCCACACCTTGAAGAGGATGTGTCTCTCTGTTTCTCTCCCTCTCTCTCATGCACACACTCTATCAAGAATAAAGGGGGATGTTACATAACCCAAAATGTAGAGTAATTGTATTTTACAGATGTTGCTGGCAGTTCTTTCTTAACATTGAATAAAATTTTGTAAATGTTTAAATACAACACAGAAAATAATGAGAAAATGAGAAACTATGGTTACAGCTTATGAAATTTACAAAGTAATTGCAATACTTCATATTTTCAGCATTGTTATAACTTTTAACAACTATTTAAATAAAATAAAATTAGAGATAGTACATTTCACTATTCACTTTCACAATTTTAATTATTACTTCTAAAATGAATATTGAAAAGATTAAGAAAAACACTTGGGCAGAAGAGATACTTGATTTTGAGGGCTCTGAATACATTTTTAGGCTAAACTTGATGTTATAGCACTGTTTTAGTTTGAAATTTATATTATTAAGAATTCTCTGCTCAGGACTGGCAGATGGCATAACGAGTCGCTGGACTCTGACTTAGTTGACCACGATTCAAGCCCTGGACCCAGTGGCTTGAAACTCACGCCAGATATGTGTGTGTGTGCCCAAGATCCTGAGAGGGGAATGGAGGAGAAGGAATTTCAGCATGACCATCCCCTCTGGGGAATGACTTCTCACTTTCTGTCTCTGTCTGTCTCACCAGCGAGCGCACACATCCTATAGCAAAAATCTCTTTCAAATAATAATAATAAGGTAGCTCTGTTCTGCCTTCAATGGGGTGACTTCTGTCCCCTCACTTAAAGTAAGAAAGCAACATAACATCTTATAGTGTTCAAGAGGGTAGCTACAAAAGCTGGCCCTCTGGGGTTTGAATACCACCCCTAAGACCTACTTGCTGTGTTACCTTGCTGCCGTCAGTCTCCATTTCCTTATGTATAAAACAAGGGTCGTAAGAGAAGGAACTCCTGGTGGTAATGAGATTCCTTCCAACAAGACTGCTGGGACACATCTGTGCTGTGCCAGGCGGTGACACGTTGGCATGAAAGAAATGTTCCAGATGATGAGGATGCTGCTAGCTTCAACAGTCTACTGCCTCTGGCATCAGGCTTCTCTTAATAATAGATTGTGTAACACTTCATTTATTTGTTTACAGGCAATAAATAATCATTTGAAAAACTAGAAAAAAATACGTATGTGTAAAAAAAGAAAATACAAGTGACTCAGACTGGTATCCTGCTCCAAAATAACATCCTACAAATTTAATTAAAATAAAACTCAGAAGAGAAGGGCAAGGGCTGATTAAGGTATGTTTTTATAAGCCACACAACCTCGTATCTAGCAAAGAGTACATATTCAATAAATTATAGCTATTATAAAGGTGTCAGAAATTCAGAAAATTATATTTTTCACATAAAAAATGCATTTTTGCTAGACTTAAATATACTTTAGGTAATATTCTTTTTTAAAAGAATTATTTTATTTAACTTTATTGGTTTGTTGACTTATTTTAATTTGTCCAGAGAGGGAGAGACAGAGAGAGAGAGAAAGAGGGAAAGTGAGAAAGCAAGCCACCAGGATCTGGGACTTGAACCTCGTTCAGCAACTCCATGGGAGTCCAGTGCCCTTAACCACCATGCCACCTGCCAGTCTCTACTTTAGGTAATATTCTAACCTCCAACCTGAAATCTACTAATGGAATTTCTGTTACAGTCTCTCTTATATTTGAAAAATTATCAAAGTAACTGAATAGTAGTTTTACACCAACTGAATAGTTGAAGAAGAAATGAGGTTCACAAATACTCTCAAAATGGCAGGGAAAAGGATACAATTATGTCTTTGTTGCAGGAAAACAGTATTTGAACAAAGCACTGTGATGGTACCACTTACTGTGCAAAAGCAGCCGCCTACCCAAGTTGGCCCAGCTAAAGAGCACAGACGTAAAGTCCTAGCGCTCTTCTGATTTAGAACCCCAGCTCTCCACTAACTGCCTGTAACTCAGGACGGGCTCTTTAAGTCCCAGTCAACTCATCTATCAGGGGCTAGTAATCCTTTCTTGAGAGCCTGCTGGAAAAATCAAATGAATTAATCCATAGAAAAAGACCACACAGTGCCTGGCCCAGAGCAGATACTCAATATAGAGCTTAATTTCCATTTTCTGACCTTTGCCCAGAAATTACTTTTTCTTCTATTGTAGCCTCCAGACCCATGAATCTAGATATTAATAAGTTTGGAGTTTTCCTTGTCATCTGTTATAGGTAAGAAAGATGTTGGGACCAGCAGATGGTATAATGGTTATGTTACTGGACTCCCAAGTAGTGGACCGCGGATTGAGTCCTGGACCTGGTGACTTAAAACTCATGCCAGCACGTGCGCATGCATGCTCAAAATCCCAAGAGGAGAATAAAGAAGAAGGAATTGCGGTGTGGCCATCCCCTCAGGGGGTGTTTTCTTGCTTTCTGTCTCTCTGTCTCTGGCTGTTTCTCTCGTGAGTGCACATGCCCTATAGCAAAAATCTCTCTAAAGAAAAAAACAAAACAACAACAACAAAAAGAACAAACAAACAAAGATGCTTACCAGTTAGTGAAATACAGCCAAGATGACAGACTCCAGTGAGCAGACTGTCCATCCTCTACTCCCTCCATTAAGCCTCTTGCTAGACTTCCAACATCCCACATCTTTTTAGAAATGGAAATAGTGCTGGGTCCACCATCATGATCTAGAAGATCTCCCAGAGCTTAGGGAAAAATTAAGAATTATAAGAGAAAATATTCCTGCTCCCTTGGTGTGTTCTTTACTTCTGCAGGATGGGTCTTCATCCCAATTCCCTTTGCTTAGTGTAGGTAGCAGGAGTGCTAAGAAACCTCACAGGGTACTCCCATGGGGAAATGAACACAGCACCAAACTAATAGACCAAGCACCTACTAGCATGTCAGCAAAACAAGGGCAGGATTTTTTCTATTTTGCTTACCAATAGGACCCAAGTCCTATATTAGTGCCAGGAATACATAGGTGCTAAATAGACATCTAATGATTGAGTGAACTCTACTTAACAAGAATGAGAGTCTGACCTCTAACCTTCTAAGGGACTCTCAGGCAGCTGGGTTTGGTCTTTATTCCTCAGGATGGTTGACCTGGAATTCACATTAGGTGTCATGAGGTGTCATGTGGTCCCCATCAAGACTGTACCCTCTTCCAAGGTGAGGGCTGGACCTTGTTTCTTAGCACAATGGCAGCAAAATTCCTGGCAATTTAACAACTTGCTCTTTTTTTTTTTTTTGGAGAGGTTTTTGCTATAGGACAGACAGAGAGAGACAGAGAGACAGAAAGTGAGAAATCACCCCCTTGGGGGGATGACCATGCCACAATCCCTTCACCTCCATTCTCCTCTCAGGATCTTGGGCACGCACGCACACGCACCCAGCATGAGTTTTAAGCCACTGGGTCTGGGACGCAAACCGCAATCGATTACATGAGAGTCCAGCGACATAGCCATTACACCAACTGCTGGTCCCAACAATTCACTCTTGCAAGCCTGTAGGAGCTGGCTTGAGCATAGCAATGATGGTAAGTGAGGCTGAGAAACTGTCAGTGACCAAGCATGAGCTCCCACAGGACCCTCAAGATGATGACTCTCCAGTTACTGAATACTTACTTTTTGAGGGGGGGGTTTCCTTTTCTTTTCTTTTTTAATGAAATTGTCGCTATTTCACTTTAGGGAATTATTATTCATATCCTGCTAGTCAAGAGGAGTTTGGCAAATGAAAGCTTAAATAAAGTGAACTGGGGGTGCAGGGTTGGGGGGGCGGCAGCAGGTGAAGTGGAATTTAAAGTGGCTGGATCCTACAAGTCTGACCACATGGTTTGAGTCCCAGACCCAGTGGCTTGAGAAGCACTGGGCATGTGTGCATGTGTGCCCAAAATCCCAAGAGGAGAATGGAAGGGAAGAGACTGTGGTATGCTCATCCCCCCTTGGGTGTAGGGGGCTGATTTCTCACTTTCGCTCTGTTTGTCTCTCAGGTGAGCACATGCTCCCTATAACAAAATGAATTAATTAATTAAATAAAGTGAACTGGGACACCCCTCAAGTGCCAGCCACCTCTGGCAACAGATGACAATTACTTTTCCTTCCGTGAAGGTGAATACTGGGCTCTGAAGTGGTTGGGGGCGGGGGTGGTGGTGGTGGTGGAGTGTCAGTGAAACACTTCCTGTTCTCACCCTGCCCTGGATGCTCACTCATTCCCAGTCTTGCTTCTCAGAACTTGGCCTTTCCATGAAATGAATTCTCCTTGACTCTAACTCGCAAGAAAAGTAGACAAGCTAGACTCTAAAGTTATCATCACTCAGGTCAGACCAGAAGAAAGCCAGGAAATACTTGGCACAAAGAAGTTGTCTTTGAAAAACTCTTTTCCATTTCATGTTTACATAAGTCTGTCATGGGCCTGTCATTCAATGGCAAAGGGAAAGCAGCATGACTTTGGGTTTACTGACATCCTGTTGTCCTCTGTAGCCAAGGTCACTGTTTCTCCTTTGCTTCATTTCTGCTCCTCTTAGTGGACTGGAAATTGGCAGATTTGAGACTTCAGGAGATTATGTTCAAGTTGGCTGTGTTCGGAGTGAGCAGCCTCAATTGTGCAATGACCTTTCCTTTGGCTAATATTTCAGTTTGTTGAGTCATAGACCTGACAAGTAGCTACAGCCCATGAAGCAGCATGTCCTGAGTCAGTTCATTGGAGAAAGAAGTTAAGTGGAAGGTTCATTCAGCACAGCAGACACTCTTGGCACAACTACTGGGATCTACAACCGTATTCTAGAATATAGTTTCCTGTCTACTTAATTCAGTGGCTTTGGTTCTTATAAATTCAATGTAAATCTCACATCTTCAGGAACAAGTCCCAAGATAAGAACTTCTCAGATGTTGAAGAGCATCTGGTGTTCAGCTTTCTCCTGCCCTAACTGTGAAAGTATCCCAGAGGGAAATGACAATGCTGTCAGCCTATTAATTCATGAGCAATTTGATACGCCTTACACAGTAAGTGCAAATTGAGAAATACATTTCTGCCGACATTCCAACATCTTAGAAATTCTTCAATAAACAAGCTTATTCTTTGTATTAATAATGAAAAAAAAAGATTTCAATAAAATCAAAAAATCGCAGTGTTTTGACAAAATATCAGAATGGTGGGTTGCTTTCCTAAACCAATAGATGGGCCTACCTCATGTGGTTTTCAAAGATCTGTTGAGAAATAAAAGACAAGATAATGAGTCTTCATTTTTTCTAATCATGCCCAATTGTTCTAGGTTACCATAAAATGACTTCAATTAAGATTAAATTAAACATTACTGTAGTACCATTGCAACAGCTGCAACAGCTGCAGTGGTACTACAGTAGTGCAGTAATGCAATTCTCCTCAATGCTGAAGCCATACAGGAAGGTCCCAAGGTCTCCTAGACAAGCCTGGCAGGTTGAGGTTAGGAGTGGACACAGCATGAGGACCCTATTGTGGCTCTCTCTCTCTCTCTCTTTCTCTCTTGGTTTCTGTCTTTCTGTCTCTTATGGAAGAAATAAATTAATAAGTTGAATTAAATTAAAAATTAAATTAATGACTTTCTCACCTGAGGTCTTAACCACTGAAACCTGTTATGTATACTACATTTCCAGTCCTTCCCGGGAATCTCCTGGTTCAATTCATTAAGCACTGCTGCCTTTATGCCCTTATAAAATAATGTATAGATGAAAACATAAATAAGTAATTCTTATTTCAGAGCAGTAATAAATCTGAGTGGGTATCAAAATGAGCACAACTCAAAATACATTATAATAACACTATTCAGCTTTTTTTCCAAATTCAAATCTTTTTTTCCAAATCTCTTTAGTCATGTGTTCTCAAATACATTTTTTTATTTCTCCTCCAAATGCACTACCCTGCCTCTCCATGATTCATCAGATCCATATCTAATAATTATAAATTATAAGGTCTTGAGGGAGAGTTCAAAGAAAAGCCAGCATTCCCATAAGTATCTAAAGTTTTCTAAATAAGCTAACCAAATATTAACTAAAACAAGTCCTATCCTCTACCCTGACAAATATATATCAATAACATTTTTAAAATATGCAAAGCCATGGATTTTATTGAGCATTAACAAAATATTCGAGGCAACTAAATTTATCATTTCATATCCGGGTGTTCGGTTATTACACGGGCTGTTTTAAAGTGCACAAAATAAAGGTATGCATAATTTATGTATCATATAAAATACTTTCTCTCCATCTCATTTCAGCAAAACCAATAGTTAAATTGTAATTGAAATGTTTACATTATTTGTATTCTATAGACAGTAATGCCAAATTAAGAGTTACTTGTGTGATTTGTTAGATATCTTTATTATTAATTAAAATGTGGGGAAGTCTCAATTCTGTTAATGCAATAACCATAAGATTACTGAAGCACTAGGTTCAGAAACAAATTATTTTCACACATTGTAATGAATCATCTATACTAAATTACCTAGATGCTAAGTTTCAGAATAAATGAGGAAATATATGATAGACTAATTTTTTAAGGTTATGCTTACCTACTAACATGCCTCAGAAGGAGAAGATGGGGAAATTATTGCCAATAAGGGAACAGGGCCCTCTTGACTTTCCCCAAGCTCCTCTCCAAGCTGGGTCTCTCATGAGACTTTGAAGTCAGCCATGTGGAAATCCAGTGCCTTAACCACCACACCACCTGTTGGTCCCCAGCGTCTTCCCTTCTTTTTGAACTCAACTGGTTCCTTGCTAGGTGTCACAGACATAGAAGAGCAAAGACATAGAAGAGCAGTGAAAAGTGGCTGGTCCCGCCCTGGTTA